ATATATAAATGCCATACTGAGATAGTTATCATGTCATTTATGATAGGGTCACTAAGGACTCTATGCCAGTGTAACAGGAAAAATCATTAGCTATCTGACACTGACCTGGCGTAGCCTTGACTTTGTATTGGTCTGTGATTCGTATAAAGCGATCCGGATATAATTCTGCACTGCAAGAACACGTATTTTCGTTCGCCAGTTACCAGCCTGAACAGCCAATACGTGCGTGCCAGACGGCGCCGAAGATACTGAAATATTTGTGTTTACAATTATATTCTGAGATGCCAAGAGGCCATTTTACTCCGAATCCGATAACCGGTGGTGAAATTTCAGAAGATGCTGGGTTAAGACCGATAGCGGTCAGGAAAGCTCAGCAGGGCAAAAGCTTGTCCGCTGGTGCGCTAGCGAAACCAGATTCGAGGCACATGTCTTGGAAATTCAGCGATAATATCTTACCTTTCTTGTGAGTTTCCATCCTTATTGGACTATGTATTGCGAGGGCTGCAAGCTCACTGAGGAAACCTAGAAAACGCTTGAACCGTCACGGAAAAACTAACCATATTATTGGGAATATAATTTTTCCCATTTTTGTGTCTGGCCCCCAAGCGCAAGATGACTTAATTGTGCATCAACATTTAGTCTTCGAAGCTTTCAGCTAGATGAGTGGACATTAATCCACCACTTCTGCTGACAGCAGTCTGTGTAAAACTTATCAGCGTGGCTGTAGTGGAAGTGTCCTGGCAAACAAAAACATTGCATATTTGAACTTATCCGTGCCTTGATATAGACATCATTGTGGGCGGCGAAAAATGCACGTTTTTACCGGACCGTCAGTGAGGTCCTGGCATCCATCGTCACAGCTGAAGTAACGCATCGATCCATTTCAGTTCTGACGTCGGCTTCGGGATCCAAACAGAATGGGCGCTCTTAAATATTTTAGATAGTAGCCAGCACTTTGTTAAAATCGCTGGAAAGTGTTTTCTTATTATTTTAGTTCTCTTGTGTTCCCTGGTAACTTTCCGGTAATGAGCTACTTTGGTGCACTGTTACAGAGTAGATACAAGTTTTTCGGTTCCCGCTAAGCCAACATTAAGAAGCCAACATTAAGGTGGCTCGGACTCAGCATCTTGATTTCACTTTTAAAGCGCAAGAAATAGCCCTCGTAACTTCGTAGTACATGTAACGCTTATGTAACACGACATCCAACTGCAACACAAAAAGCCTGAACAGAACAGCGCGGCACCCAGACTGGAATGGTGGCGCTCTATTTCATGATGCTCGCACGCCACTGCCATTCATCTCCCATGAACGTACTGCATTATAACTAACTACAATTACACCGCGTCTAAATGAAGACAATCCTAAGTGTTAAAAATTTTGTTGCGCAGTAGTGTATACGCCAAGATTTCTGGTGTTTGAAGCAATATCACAAAAAAAGTTTTTGCGTTAGAAGATTTGTCACGCAGAAGTAATGTTATGTAGAAGTATTTGTGTGAGCAGTTTTGCTGCGTAGAAGCTTACGCCTTAGAAGTTCTTGCATTAGAAGGAATGTCACCTGGAAGGTTTTACGTTACAAGTTTTACCGCACAGAAGTAATGTCGCATAGAAGTTTATGTGTTAGAAGTGCAGTCATGTAGAAGTTAATGCGCCATAGTTTCTGGCATTAGAAGCAATGCCTTGTAGAAGTCGTGTCGTGGAAGCTCTGTCGTGTACGCAGCGTTTGCGTGTGAATCGTCGTCAGTGCACCCCTGGAAGTGGGTGCTAAACGTATCGTTATCCGGAACCTTGCGGTATATTCTCGAACGACTTAGCTCTTCCGCATCTTGTCGGCTTCACGTACAAAAAGGGTTTCCTGCTAACTACCAATTCGCGTGATTTCATGCCCCGCCTCACACGTGTTGTGACTGACACCAATTTCTGATCTTTTTATGTTTTGTGGATCGTCAAAAAGAACGAACTCATCACGTGAGAAAGTTTCACGTATAGCGGTCTCCCGTGCATTTCGCTTTAAAATATCGCGCAAAGTGACAGATATACGCTTCGAAACTAGTGATTTCGATTGTCGAGCGAGCTTTCGGTTTAATGCGCCTTCGCCTTACCAGGCTCTGTGGTGTATGGGTTGTGTTGGTACATCCCAAAATTCAGTTCCTCTTGTCAGGAAGGGCAATGGCGCAATACCAGAACCCAATCGGAGCATAGGTTACACAAACCTGATATGTTAGGAGCGCACACCCACCAAAACTAGGTCACTCAAAACCTGCATCCGCTTTCTGACGGACGCCTCAGCGCTAGCGGAAATTCGATAGGGCTGAAAGCGTGCTTTGCACGTTTTCGGCAAAGCGAGGTTGTATGTAAGCGATCTTTCACACAGCATAGCTGCCTTGCAAGACGGTCGCTCAGAAATGTTCAGAATTTCGTTGCTGTGCGTGTGCGTCCAAGCTCCTGAGCGCACTGCGCCGAAACGTTCTGACGGACCGCGACATGAATGGCACCATCTGCTGTGCCGTCCCGGGCGCCGGCTTCGAATCGACCGTCAGCCGGAACTCTGGAGAATTCGCGCGTAACCAAGGAAACAGGTCAGAAGGACGCGACTGGCCCGAGGCTAGGGGTGGGGGGAAGGGGAGAGGAATGGAAGTGGACATCATGGGTCCCATTGCAGAGTGCGTGCTTTTTTGGTCGCCAGCTGTGTGCGGCCGACGGCGTGCCCTGCAGGCACGTGCAAAGGTTCGAAATCAGAGTCCTTCAAATGCCGGAAACAGGAAGCGAGCCGACCAAAAATTGTCGGGTTCAAAGACCGCCGCCGGAGCCATCGAACGATACTCAACTCACGATGTTCCTGCTCATGTTCTCGCATTGTGCGCTTGCTCAACTTTTATGCTCATTTTTCTTGTGACCGTACTGCGGAGGCTCAGACGGCACGGTCTGGTGGGCGATGGGCCAGGGGATGAACGGATGGCTGCCTGATCGGCTATGGTCGAATCCAGCCAGTAAGGAGCTGTCCTTGCACGTGGAGCACGACCAAAGATCTGCGCCGCTCTGTTTCTGTCGCCAACCTGCAACTGCCAGGACAAGCAAGTTTGGCAGCAGGATTGTAATAGATGTCAGTCGATAAGCAGCTGCGCTGTGACCCGATAGTTTAAATGTAAGATGCGTGGGTACATCTTGCTGAGTTCTACCCCTCTACCATGTGGGCTTTTGCATTGGCTGCCATAGACGCTACTTCAAGCCGATCCGCGGTTTTCTGCCGGCAGGGACCACTTTCCCAGCGGGTCCCCGGTCTCCGACCGATAGGGATCGCTTTCCTGACGGGTCTCCGGTCTCCGCCGACAAGGACCGCGGTCCGAGCAGGTCCACGATCTCTGCTGACAGGGATCGCTTTCCCAGCGGGTCCCCGGTTTCAGCCGATAGGGACCGCGGTCCCAGCAGGTTCACGGTCTCCGCTGACAGGGACCGCTTTCCCTGCGAGTCCCCAGCCTCCGGCCGACAGGGACCGCAGGCCCAGCGGGTCCGCGGACTCAACCGACAGGGACCGCGGTCCCAGCGGGTTCCCGGTCTCCATCGACAGGGACCGCTTTCCCAGCGGGCCCACGGTCTCCACCGCTAGGGACCGCCGTCCCCACGGGTTCCCAGTCTTTATCGACAGGGACCACTTTCCCTGCGAGTCCCAGGTCTCCATCGTCAGGTACCGATTTTCCTGCGAGTCTCCGGGCTGCGCCGACAGAGACTGCAGTCCCAGCATGTCCACAGTCTCCGCGCTGTGAGGGAGCGCGGTCCCAGCGGGTCCACGATCTCCGCTGACAGGGACCACTTTCCCAGCGGGTCCGCGGTCTCCGCCGTCAGGGACCGCGGTTCCAGCCGGCCAGCGCCACCGGGCGTGAGCAATAACTCGGCGACGCGAAGCATTGTCGCCGCGATTGGATCGGAGGTCAACAGGGCGCGGCGTGCCAAAATCGATCCCCGCTGGCGACGCGAAACCTGACACGTCTTGTCGACAACAGCTGGGTGGGGGCTGTAGGTAGGCGCGCTCGCAATGCCGCAGTTGAAGGGAGAGGCCCATGCCCACTTCGCAGGAGGGGGTCTGCACGGAGCCGGCAGATTTACATCTCCGACGGCGTCCGCGCAGTTCGCGGCTGCCAGCGCCCATATATCCAGCGGTGCCAACGTTAGCACCTACCAGCTGGTGTTTTCTTCGCGACTGCGCGAGAGGTTATTGTGGTTACCGCTCGCCCTTCGGTCCGTTTGCAGATGCTTCTGCTAATGGCGACCGTGGACGTGCTGCTGAATGCTGTTTATCGTCTGAGTTTGACTTTGTCACATCTTCCGATGCTTCCACTCCAACCCGGCGATGGTCGTCGAGATGGCGTTCAGAAATTAGTGAATGGAACCTGATTTCCTCGCTTGTGACTGCAATATGGAGAAGGGTGTGCATTGCCATTCCAAAACTTCACATCAGTTGCTTCAATTCGATATGCTGAGCGTGGAGAGGAGGCCTACGTCCCCTGCCCCCTGACGACACTGATTGCAGGAATTATTGTGTAAAAGGCAATTCCAAATGTCGGTAATTTTCAAAACATCACTTGCCAAGAAGGGCGTGCTTGGCCTATTTTTAACATTCTTGCTTGCGCTTTTAAGATTGGCATTTCAATTAAAACAAGCTGTAAAAACGGCAAAATGAATAAATTCCACTCTTAGTAGCGTAACGCGTGATTGCCTGCAGAGCTAACATCAAATTAGATCGTTGTGTGTATTTTTGTCTACACCTAAAGGCTTGTGTTACATCCACAAATAAGTCTAGCATTTCCTAACTCCTTGGCAAAATCATTTTAATAGCACTTCGCAGCATGCTCTTACGCTAGCGCTGGAATGCAACTGCAAAATGGGAGCCCTCGAAATGATGTAATATCTGCAAGATGCAGCCATTCATCCGCGCAGTGCACCGAATCCAGCGTTGATATGCGTGCAGTTTTGCAGACAGCTATGCATTTGTGGGTGGATCCTAATTTGTCATGACTGAAACCGCGGATGGCCGTATGGGGTCAATTCGGTTCTTCCCTTAGGGTTTTTTTTAGGTGATTTCCAAACACTTTGGTATAACCGCGCCAAACTTGGTCTAGCTGTAGAAAATCAACCAGTGAATATATCGGCGCAACACATGAGGCATGTCGAATCAGATCGCTGACCTGTAGCAGGTGATAGACCATAGCTGTCAACGAGGGCAATTCGTAGAAATCTTCCGAGCTGATGCGTGAATGGAATGGTAGACGAAGTCCTGCAAATTTGAAATCATTTCTTAGTCAATGAGACGGTGGAAGTAGACTACGACCAATTAATTGATCTTGGCTCAAGCACGAGGGCCAGATCAAGGTGAAAACTAACAGGTTTTCAGGTTTCAAAGCAGGTGTTCAGTCTCGATGTAATTGGACCCTAGTCTGGGCTCATCTTTTCGAACCCGGACGTAAGTTGAGCCATTCAGATTGTGGGTGAGCTTGAGTAGGAATAGCCTGCGAACAGGGCACGCGATGTATGGGCCTGGGGTCAGATTATTTGTGGCTGGGTGCGATTGGTCCAATTGGATTTCGGAATATATTGTGTGTGGTTTGTCATGGGTCACTACAGCACTGCGAAAGCGCGTGTTAATAATTCGGTATCTAAAGGAGTGTTTCACATTTATATGGGGTCTTGAACTGAAATAGCAACTTTGAAGACATTTCGGTGCTGTTCACAATCCTACCTTCCTTCAGACCTAAGCAGCTCTCAAGTTGCTGAGTTACACACGCCCGTGAAAATGGGGAAAGGAATGTCGAGGGGAGCATTTCATTCACCTTGGCATCTATGACGTCATAATAGCGCCATTCAGATTCTGCCATTCCATAAGACATGCGGCAATCAAGGTTAAAAAAAAATCATTGTCGCGACTTTCATATCTGCGATTCATGAGATCGATTTCTATGTAGAACGTCCTTCAACTGGCTCTAAACCAATGTTGCGCAGGATACGCTGGCGGATTCAAGCCATGGCGCATTAAAGAGCATATTTATCGAGCACAGAATTGTACTGGCCAAAGCAGTCTTTCCACTTAAAGGGCATACCAATATTGTAAGTGGGCTTGTTCCATGATGAATTATGTTTGCTTTGGTACCTTCAGATGTGAAACATTCCGTTTAAGGGAGAGCTAACTTGTCAAGACATCAGATAGCGTTAAGGTGAGAGAGGACCAGTTTACAATTGCAGTAACGCGTCATGTCACGGCTCATATGATGAAGAGCTTGATCCCTTACAATGCAAGAGGCTCATTCGCTTGCACTCTGTCCGTGCAATTGCTCAGTTTATTTGACCGGCTGCCGTCTGACTCACTAAGCCGCAACTGGGTGGCCTCCTGCCACTTTAAACGTTTGCTGATTGCCCTTGGCTGGGACGGCCAGCAGCCGGTAGTAGCAGCTGCGCTAGTGGTCAAGTGACGTCGTAGGGCAGAAGGTACCGTGCTGAACGTTGTGGCATGTTACGCTTTCGCGGCAAAATCTTGCCGTTGACTCACCAGGCGTCGTAAGGCGTCTGAAGAAATCGCCGCTTTGGCTCTCACACCACGATTATCACGTCTCTTTAAATGAAAAAACAACTTATTTCTGGCACCTTTTGGTAACCAGAAGACCAAGATACCTTGTACTAACACACTGCCATTTTCTCTGTCGCATCCTGAAAGTTAATGAGTGTCCTTGTGCCGTTTGAAGTACACTTTTTTCCCCAAACAACATCTGTTTCACATAACGGGGTCCCAACAATCTGAACAGCGTTCGCAATATTTTCAACACACGAAGTCAGGCGTACCTCTGAAGACGCTGTCAGGAGACAATCAACGCAATACGAAGTATAGTGACACCTTGGCTCACCTGAATGGCACTGCACAAAGGCGAGAGGAATGTGCTGTCACGGTGTTCAGGTTAGTCGTATGTCTTTGTCAAAAATGGAAAATAAAAAAAGTTTGGCTACTTTTGCCACAGTTAACTTAAGTGTCATGTACTGATATTCTGTCGGTCTCCCGTTTTTTTCTCACTTATCAAGTCATGGCTGCCCGGCTTCTCTTTTACATCCCATGTCTAACACTGATATGTTTCGTGAGAGGAAATGCTTTGCTACAAGGATGCTGAAGCATGTTCGGGCGTCAAAATATTCTAAAGCACGCAGGATAAAGTCAGCACGATTTGAGATCCTTCGTGCCAGTAATGCATTCGGACATTTGGTTTGATTATCCAAGACATTCGGTTATCCAAGCAAAAACTGAACTTTGTGTAATGCTAGCATGAAAACATTCTAAGCACTTACAGCACCTAAGACGAAGGCAAACGCAGCAGAGTGCTTCGTTTATCTCATAAGCCAGACGAATTCCCCCTTAAAAAGAGGTGGGTATTAAGTGGTGCTGCTGGGCATGACATTTTAACGACGGCTGCTATCAGTAAAAAGGTAGTTCGCTCCTGCGTTATACGGATTTGCAAGATCCAATCCCTATGTGCCGGCAATACCGGCGCTAAATCAGGGCGAACTTTTGCCCGAGGGGATTCCTTATTTCACAGCGCCAAGTAGCCAGGTTGAGCGCCAAAGCTTAGACTCCAGGCGCCATTACCATTCCGTGTCTGACCACGGTGCCCGCCCTTCCAGAGTTGAGCGCTAAAGCTTAGACCCCAGGCGCCAATACCATTCCCGTGTTTGACCGCGGTGCCCGCCCTTCCCCAGGGTGAGAGGCAGGTGACGCTATATAGCCCCAGCAGCTGAGAGCGTCATAAATCCTGAGTGACATGACGTATCTGGCCGTGGCGTGGCATATCAGATTCTGGTGAGGCTAGATCCTGCAGGGTGGGACCCTAGTTAGTTCGTGCTGCCACCGATTCAAGCCGAACATGCTGCAACTATTGAAAAAAAGCATGCACCGCCCCGGTGCCTCAAGAATACCGGAGTAACTGCAACCGTATTGGACTGAGAGGACTGAGAGTCTTCGCGGTGAGATATGCGTAACAAAAACTCGATCCCGAAGATGTCTCCAACAAATATATAATATATATATATATATATATAATATATATATATATATATAATGTGAAAAGAAATAGAGAACGTTGTATCGCCATCTCCAGTTCTCATGCTATCTTTCGTTTTGTCAGCCGTATGGTCTTGCGCTGCATACTGTTTTCAAAGTTTGGCTTCAGCATGACCCCAGTCGGAGATCAGTACATTACCTGTATTCGAGGTGGCAAAACGTTCCGACGTAGTGGATACAGTCGACACAAAATGGATATTTTTACGCGACGTTTAGCGTGAAAAAAGCTCGACTGCCTTATTGTCATTTTGTGTCATATGGCGCCGCGTCGCGTTGCTGGGGAATATTTTGCCAGCAGGAATTTGGCCGTCTGCACAGGTACACTTTTACCATACGTACCTTTGTCGCAGCGGCTCTTTAGGCCATCACGCACCGCTGCCATATCATAGGATGCCACCTCACCTTAGTTAGAGATGTAACATGTAGTGTCAATATTCTGTCATTTTAGCACCCGTCGGTGGCTAGAAGTTTTACCTTTAAACCGCAAAATTGTCTTGTTTCTGAAAAGGTGCGTCTGAAAAGCTTCTTCGAGCGTTCCCCGTAGACATACCCCCTCCGCTAGAGGAGAATATAGCGCTGCCTTCGGCCTAGCATCGGCAGTACAATCCGTCCCGGCTTAATTAGGTGACCTGTTTTGTCATCCCAGGCGA